ACCTTTATTACCTATGTTTATAACTGAACTACAAGTTGGTTAAGTGGTATGAGGACGTACAGGGTAGATTACATGGTTTGAGTCAGGAGGGTGAAAGATAGGAAAGACCTAATAATAAGTCAAATATTCAATTTGGAATTTCTAAATTTCACCTGGAAGGGTAAATGATGGAATCAAAAAAAAATTTTGAAAAAAAAAAGTTAAAAATTACAATGAAGGGATGTTTTCTCGATCAGATAATAACCCCCACTAAGCATCTACAGTGATTGAAATACTAGAGTTCAGACATAAGGAAAAGATTATTAGATAATGATGCCAAAACATATAAATAATAAAAGCTAATTGTTATTCCATTCCCATACTCTAAATTTAATGTCTTCATTCAAAAGCTTAATGCTTTGAATTGCAAAGGCTTAAACTAGCCTAGAGGGACCTTTATCATCTTGCAATGGAAAGGGGATTCATAAATGAAAGGCAGGGAGGAGTGGAATCTCACAATCGGATGTCCAAAATTTAAGTTTCTCTGTTTCAAACACTGCACAAAGAAAGTAATACATTGGGAGAATGTTGACAAAATATCAGTGAATTTATCAAGTTTTTCACATTGGACCTTCTTACATGTCTAAAGCCCAGGAATATAAACATGTTCATTGATGGCTTCATTCTTTTGGTTATTCATTCAATCATTGATAGTCACTAATCAGACTTTTATTAAGCATTAATCTTAGCTGTTATAGTCCACAAAATTTTCAAGTAAATAAAAGACAACAGAAAATATTGACAATAGAAACCTCTTTTCAAGTTTGCTTATTAGTTACTTTGTAACTTGTCCCAAGATGATTTATTACTGTGTGGACTGTTGCTTTCAAATGAAAGCTTGGTTTGTTTATCCAAACACTTTTATTTTTCCACATTAAAACTTACATGAGATTTTTGTTATTGTTTGGTTTTACAGAGGTCTTACGTAGCACAGGCTGGTCTAGAGCACCATATGCAGTAGAGGAGGACAGTCAACTTTGGTCCTTCTGTCTCTACTGCCAAGTGGCAGAATCAAAGGTGTGTGCCACAGCACCAGATTTTCCTGTTTAATAACAGTGGTTCATCCACTTCTGAGGCCAGCTGGTCAACCTCCCGAACTTGCTTTTGCATTTTTGTGCTAGTTGCTCTCACTTAGTTGAGTGGAAGATTCTGGGCCAGACCTGGAGGGGCTGGCTCATCATTCGCCTTTAAGCACTATTGTGCTCATTCAGAGTGTCACCAGAGGGCCCTGGCACTAATGCAGGGGCCTCCAGGCACTCGTGAAAGGGGAGATGGCAGAGAGAAAGCTGAGTCCCATGCCCCATACTTTGGCCCTGGGAACCACTGTTGCCTTCTCCAACCCCCGGCTCTGCCATCTTTCAGGAACAGCTCACAAAGAACAACTCCCATGCTCTTCCAATCTAGTAACCCGGCCTAGATTGTGACAGCGATTCTCTCTCAGGGGCTTACCAGCACCAGTGAGTCCTTGCCTTTGGTTTCCACACCAGAGCACAAAGCCACTAAATGAACCCACACTCTTTTCTTTATTTCTGCTACATGAAAAACACTTACATGGCCGCAAGTTATGCAACTCAGTAGTATCATGGAAACAAAGATGGACTACAGAGGTGAAGGAATATAAGCATGCTTGCAGTTCGTTTCAAATACTCGGATGTTGTTTTCACCAAATGTCTTCATGTTTGTCTTAAGGATCACTCAGAACACCACACTTTTCCCTCTGTTTGTATCCATTGTGTGCTTTGGCAGACATATGCTTGTCTTGACTTACCATGTGTCTATCCCTCAAATGCTTTTAGCTCTTCAGTAAACCTTTAAATAGGAAAAGATAGATTGACAACCCTCCTCTCTCCTTCTTTTCCTTTTTAGCGTTAGAGCAAAGAAATGGATCACCATCCTACAGAATTCTAGTTTTGTGAGTTAAAAGAGGCCAGAACAAGGTATGTCTTAAGCCCTGAAAGTATAGCATCTTTCCTGTTTTGGACTTTATTTCTTATTCTTGCTGAAAGTATCCCCTCCTTCCTTATTAACTATTTAAAATATGTTTTAAACTGGGATACATTATAGAGATTATTTTATTGAAAACAAAATTGTATATATAAATCTCTTCTAATTTAAGGATATTTCTTTACAACATTTACCCAAAATTTGACTAATGCTGTAAACTAATGACAAGAGCTTTCTACACAGATGCGGACTGTGGTTCTTATGTACATTGAGGAGAGCTAGAAAGGCTTCCAATGTTGAAATGAAATACCTCTTCCCTTTTAAAACCAGAATTCTATACTTTCGGTTTTCATCTCTTTGCTTTATGGGTTTTATTGTATCTGTTGCGATTTGAAAGGGTGCTTAGAAAAATCTAGTTCAACGTAAGTCTTCCCAATGGATATCTAGGAAGAGGTTTTATAAATGTGAATAGCAATGAAGAAGGCATGTGAGTATACTCGGCACCCAGGAAAGGTTTGAACATAGTGTAGTCCTAAAACAGAAAAACACTAAAAAGCAACTTTATGAACCACAGTTATTCCTCAAGGGCTGTGAATGTTCACAGAAGTAAATCAAGTGCACCAGGAAGAGTGGACATCTCAGTCCTGAAAATATTCATGTCCGTCTGACTTCAAATATTTAACACTTATAAAAATAAATATGGAAAAATTCAAACCATTTTATAACTACTTTTGAAATTCATAAGGATGGGGCAATAAAATATGCAAACCCCTAAGTGCTGGGTTTCCTGTCAAGTAAATGTATAAAGGAATATTTCCATTCAGGAATCTGGAAAAGAAATGAGCTCAATGAATAACCCACTATCCATTTGTTTTGTTAACAATCTTGTGCAGTAGAAAGTGCTAGGGCACTTTAAAGTTTGTTGATTTTTGGAAACTTTAGCAAAGTTGTGTCTGCTAAATGAACCAACCTTTAAACTTGGGTACATTCTGACCTTTGAATACCTTAGCAATTTCACACAGAGAGATATCAAAATACTATTTCTAGTATGGTCTATTTCCTAGATGATTGAGAATCCTCTTAAAAAGAGTTTGGATTGTGCTACCTACATGAACTTGCTCACTGTATGTGCCTCCCTTTTCGACACAGTTACATTTTGACCTTGCCTAGAGAGCAGAGAGAGGACACCCCTGTCCTGGGAAAGAGTACTATACATGATAAGTATGCACTATCAACTGTGAAGTGCCCATGCCTAACGCTTTTCTTCTTTGAAACTAAAACATAATTACATCACTCCCCCCTCCCCTTTCCTCTGTCCAGCCAGGCTTTTCTTTTGGAGAACATTTGGGTCTTAACTTGATGAAGTTTGTTGTTGAATGCCTTCGAGAAACACTATCCAGGTAACCAAGAGATAGTATGTCTCATGGGTTGTTCCTGGCATGCTTAGGTTTCCAAGTGACCTCTGTCATTTGAATTGGGGGCTGGATGATGTTATCAAGAAGGAAAAGATACAACAGGTATGAGATTATAATACCTTAGTATATTAAGTAGCTCAGCACGTTATCTCTGAAAGGGTCCTTATTCTCATCTATCTCCTTGTTTATTCATAATAAGTAAATAGGGACCAAATCAGCTGGAACCCAGCTCACTGCATAAAGCTATTTGTTCCAGGATTTATTACTGATGAGTGATTTTTAAAACAACCACATCCTACTATTCTAACTACTCCAGAAATGAAGCACGTGGCTGGTCTATTTTTCTCTGAGGTGAAAGAATGGGGACTAATGGCAGACGAAGGATCGGTCAACTCCTAGCTAGCTGTGTGAGCTGACTGGTGAGAGGGCAGTGGGAATTACCTGAAGGGGCCTCTGTTTTGAGTTCTGGTTCTCAGGTTTGGAAAGACCCTGTGTCACACAGAAACAAATTCCTTTCCATCAAAGATGATGGGGATTATATTTTACTTTTTATTCTTTTTTCAGAAATATATTGAAGTTGATAAAATGTTAAATATTCTAAGTAGCATCCGGCCTGCTGTCTTTCAGGGGTTAAGCTGCACACTTAATGGTATCAGGAAGGCCCTTGAATATGTCAGAGTAACGGAAGGTTTACCTGCATTTACCAAACATGACTGTTTAATCCTTAGTGCAAAGGCAAACATAGGATAAGATATTTACAAGCATCATCGTAATCCAAACCTTTGAACAATTTCTACATAATGATGGAAGACTAAATTCTTGAGAGTACAGAATTATATTGTTGCAATGAGAATGGATCACTTTATAGTCTTATGATGGTTTTTATGTATCAATGTTGCTTTAATCTTGTTAAATTTGAATTTGCATTTATGCATATAAGTATATGCATGCATATATTTATATATATGTATATGTATATTCTAATATACCTTCTTAGTGAAAGGCTCATTTTCTTTTCTTCTTTTTTTTAATGTGTGTTGGATGCACGTCTTACAATAAGTATATGAGACAGGTCTTGGAAAAGCTAAGAAATTTGTCCTAGTTCTGGTAGTCAGAAAAGCACAC